CCCAGGACCCTGGGATCAGGACCTGAGCAGAAGGCAGATGCTTAACGTCTGAGCTACCCAGGCGCACCAATTTATTATTATTTTTTAAAGATTTTATTTATTTATTTGACAGAGGGTGAGCGAGTGAGAGTGCACAAGCAGGGGGCGCAGCAGAGGGAGAGGAAGAAGCAGGCTCTCCGCTGAGCAGGGAGCCTGACTCGGGGCTCAATCCCAGGACCCTGAGATCATCACCCGAGCTTAAGGCAGACACTTAACCCACTGAGCCACTGAGGCGCCCCTGATCAACGTTTTAATCACCAGCAGTGGCAAGGCTGACATCATATGCCTTTGGAAGCAAAGTGCTAAGAGAACACAGACTCATTTCTGTGGTACTCCTACCAGGAATGCACGAACTGAATGGAATCATGAGGAAGTATTACATGAACCTAGGTTGAGAGTCATCCTACAGAATGTAGGGCTTTGTACTTTCTAAAACTGTCATGGACATGAAAGAGGGAAGATTGAGGCTGAAGAAGTCTGAAGAAACATGACGACTAAACACAACATATATTCCTGGATAGAATCTTGGACCAGAAAAGAAAGAGATGTTGTTCCAACTGTCGATGAAATATGAATAGGTTCTTTGGACTAGGCAATAGTGTTGTACCAATGCTTATTTTTTTATTTAGAGGGTTATACATTGGTTATATAAGAGAGTGCCTTGCTTTTGGAAAAAACAGACACTAGTGTTTACAGGTGACAATACACCATGTCTGCTCCTTGCTCCAAAAGGTTCAGAAAAAAGACTATAATCATGGGTATATATGCATGTGTTTTTACACACATATATGTAATGTATGTATGGAAACAGAGAGAAAGCAGGCAATAGAAGAAACGCAGAAAAGCTGTTGGTCCCACTGCTGCACCAGAAAAAAAAAGTTCTATATACCTGAAGATCTGTATTACAATTAACCATAATGAACTTCAGAACTGTCTTTTCTAAGGTTTCAACAACTACTAAATATTACATTGATAGTATATAATTCAAGTGCTTTAGAAAATAAACGATATTAATACCTTATGAAATGAGAATCTATTCAAAGCATTATTAGAGAATTAAAAATTGCTGTAACTATATTACAACTTTTTTCTTAAAGAGGAATCTTAAGGCTGAATCTTCTCTAGCATATTACGAGTAAAAACAACATTCAGCATTACTATAAATCAGAATCTGTGTGGTTTTTAAATGGGAGATAAAATACTCTTTAAGATTGTTGTAAGAATTGAATGAAATTATGTATATAAAGCATTTAGCATGGTGGCTAGTACAAGTTAAGCACTCATAAATGGCATTTAATGTATTTATTCTTATAGAAAGGATACGAAACAACCTCCAAATACAGTAAAGTGACTTCAAAACCTATTAGAGATGTCTGTAAAGGCAGATGGATACAATCACAGTCAAATATCTAGTCTGGCAAATTCAATGAGAAAAGCAATTGTAATTTATTTATACTTGCAGTCCCATAATCTAACATAGTGCCTGGCACACACAGTAGGCATTCAATAAAGATTTACTGAAATGAACTAAGTATGAAAGTAAGTTATCTCAAAAGAAAAAAAAAGGTAGTCTGAGATTGTCTGAAAAATAAACTTAGAGTCCAAAAATTATTATTCCCTAAGCAAGTCACTTTGAGAAAGGAAATAAAATACATAAGCATTTTTAAAACCATGAACAGAAACTCCCCTCAGACTCTTTTAAATAACGACTGAGCCACTTTCAAATCTGTTTTGGCAAATGTGTCACATAATAAGTCTAATATTACAGAAAAGTATTTTAAAATTTCATCTAAATAAATGTTGTGTTCATCCTCAAAGAGGAAAAATGTACCCAAAACACTGAGGAATCTTTCTAACTTCCACTCAAGGAGACTCAGATGAGCTTAATTCAAGTTCTTCCATCTATTTATATATGAACATTAGCTTGAACTTTTACTTACAAATACATTGTAAATACACAGATTTCACTTCCACAAGTTCAACTGCATACTCCAGAAGAGGAAAGAAAGAAAATCAGTTCTCTCAAAAGTGGGCAGTGCTATAGGAGTACAAAAGAGTAACCAAAAAAACTTTTGTTTCAGCAGCCACCTGTTAGAACTCAACCTTATGGCATAATCTGCATGGTTTGGGAACATTTTCAGATTGAAAACTCAAAATTCCCAGTGCAGTTGGCAAGGGAAAAAGTGTACTATGAAAATGCAGTGCTATCTTCCCCACTACTTCCAAAGATAACAGGGATCAATAGACTTTTTTAAAAAAGGAAAAAAAAAAGACTCTTCCAAGTTATGGCCAATTACCTCACTCACATTTGGAAACTCATCAATTTTCTGAAAAGCAAAACCACACCTTTAATAATACACTCAACTCTGTACAGAGCTTGGCTTCTGAAACAAGCCAGTAAAGTATACTTCCAGACAGAGAGCTGGGGCTACATCTCCTGAGCCTACTTTAAACTAAAATCTGTGAACAATATGAAGTTACAAATCAAGTAATAGTTCCAAATCAAGTGCTAAAAGAAAGTTTTGAAAACAACCACAAAAATCATCATTAAACACATCTACCTTTCTTAACACAATGACTATGTTTTCAGAAAAAAATAAACCAAGGCTACCAGGTACATTACAGAACAGTTTACAGAATAGCAACAAAGAACTGCAATATACAGAGTAAAATTATTCTTAAATTATTATTTACTTCCAGGCGCCTGGGTGGCTCAGTCATTAAGCGTCTGCCTTCAGCTCAGGTCATGATCCCTGGGTCCTGGGATGGAGCACTGCGTTGGGCTCCCTGCTCAGCGGGAAGCCTGCTTCTCCCTCTCCCACACACCCTCTGCTTGTGTTCCCTCTCTCACTGTGTCTCTGTCAAATAAATAAATAATAAAATCTTAGAAAAAAATTATTTGCTCCCTATAGTGCCCTGGAAAGTGTCATCAGCATGAAGTCGTGTTGAGAGCTATTGTTCAGTCACTGACAGCATTACAGTTATTTTTTAATCTAATTTCTGGAAAGTTCTGCAGTGGCAGTTTAAAAAGCAAACTAAATTCAAAAAGAAAAAATGCCTAGCCTTTAATCTGGAAATACACATTGAAGATATCCACAGTTAATTTCTTTTTCAAACTAAGAAGCAGTAAGGTCATAGGCACAAGCGTGTAACATCTGTAGGTGGTTGATCTAAATCAGTAAAAAAGTCTCTCTGAAATGAACGACTTAAACTACTATCTTACCAAATACAATTTGAGATGATCTTTAAAAATCAGGTTAGTGTTTTTTAACCACTAACAAAACTTTCCAATACAAAATTTTCCACATCACACACTTCGTAACTTAAGAACTAAATGTAAATCCAAAACACCAAAAATTATTTAAAGACATAAAAACATATTGGAAATATTAGCCCTTTGTTTTTTACCTTCATTTCTTAGAATCTACTAGCAAAGCTATTCTGGAATGGGTCCTCATTCCAATACAAGATTGTTTAATATGTCAATTCCGTGTGAATAGAGCTTGTGAGATTAATTCTTAAAACCTCAGGAGATGCTTAATTACAGCTCTAGTTCCAATTTCCTGCGACTCAAACGGCAATGTACAGAAAAGAGCTTATCCATAGTTAAGAAGGGAGAGGAATGAAGGTCCAGGGAGCGACCCATTCTTTTGTTTTGGTCGCAGACGCTGCAAAAATAAAGGTCCATCAGAGCTATCTGCACCTATCCCCACCCATCACAACGATGCAGAGCACTTTCAGCCATCCGCGCAAGACCTTCTAGCCCACCAGATCTGCCGAACCCGTGGCTTTCCACGTCTCAAAAGATGGGCGGGGGAGACTCCGAGGTCTGGGATAGAGAGAGAAAGAGAGGGAGGGAGGACACAGATCTTTGAGGACAGAGGGACAAGGAGATGCATCTGGCTGGGGAGGATGGGACGCGCCACTGAGACTTGCAAATTCGCTAGGAGAAAAGCCCCACGGGACCGACAAGAGGATGTTGCCTGTTCAGGGATGGGGACAGAGAGGAGTACAACCCTCCACAAGAGGAAGGAGGCACATTAGTGGGAGACCCGTGAGGGCGTGAACTAGGCAGCGCTGAACTCGGAACCCAAAAAGGGTTGAGATAGCCTCATACACACTCGTATGGTGAAGCTGAGACTTACGGTTACTTCCCGGGCTGAGGGTAAGGGTCGGGTGGACCCCGCAGCTCTGCAGTTCTGCCACCGCCGTGGCCGCCTCTGCCTCTCGCGCGGAGCAGGTGACCTCAGGTACCCTCCCCACCCCACCCACCCAGGCGGGCGCCCCCTCCTCGCCCGCCCGGGTGCGCCCGCCGGGCAGAGGCTGCTGGGGCTGAGGGTGCGCACTAGAGGCCCGCGAGGAACGCTGCGTGAGACTGAGGCGCCCCCGACGAGGCTCAGATTAGGCGGGCGCCCCCCATCTCTCTCTGGCCGCCGCGCCGCCTCACTCAAGGGAGGGGAAGAGGGGGCGGTGGCTTTTGCCTCCGCCTCGCGGTCAAGTCCGGCTCATGCTCAAGCCCTGCGCGCGCGCGCGCAGCCCGGGCCGCCCTCCTCCCCTCCCCCGCTGCCGGCTCAGCCGCTGGTGTGCCGGCCGCTGCCACCCCTGTCCTCGAGGCACCGCCACCAACCCCAGACAGCCCGCAGCCCCAGCGGGAAGCAGCAGGAACGGCAGCAGCTCGTCCGTCGACCCGGAAGCTCTTCCGCCGCCAACCGCGACGCTGCAAGGGGTGTAAACCCGGAAGTGATTTCCTCGCCCCGGTAGCGGCGGGATGGAAAGCACAGGACTTTGAAGACCTGGAAACCCCTAATTTCGGGAGAGGGTAATATCGTGCTGAGGTGCGAGGAGAGGGAAGGACGATAAAGAATTAGTCGGCAAGAGTTTCTCCGAGTCCAGAGACCCGGGCTCTTGAGGCGCGTTTTGGAAAGCGCTGCCGAACACCCCAGGCGGCTTCTGGTGGCCACCAAGGGTTTTCCTGTCACAGGAAGTTAGGCCCGGCTGCTGGGAAACAGAAGGGAAGGAGGAATGAGAAAGCCGTGACGGCACCCCGCCCCGCAGGTGACTGTCTCACCCAGTGAGTTGAATGTAGCGGCCCGGGAGGTGCTCGGCCGCCCTCACGGGTGAGACGAGGAGGAGCGAGAACCAGACTCCAGCGAGAGAAAACAGAGGTGGGAGGCTGAACTATCTCCACAACTAGTTTCTCCAGGCAAGGAATTTATTTCTTACTAGTAACGAAGAAGCTAGAGCCACTCTTGGGGTGGCAGCTCTTTGAGCAAAGAGGCGTGCAGTCCTTTCCTGGTAGTGGACGTTGATGGGTGGTGGCAGAGGAAAAACCTAGGCAGATTGTTTATTTTTGTCATTTCAGGGAAAGCGATTCACAACTTGTCATTCCAGTTCAACTCGCCTCTACACTTCTTTCCATCTTTTGAGGCTTTTGGCTTTCTTTGCTTTTTATTCATGGTGTTTTTTATCTTCAAAAGAAATCTTTGATGTAGCTGGCCTGACTCAGGATCTCCCTCCCATTCCTTTCGCACTCTCTTGGAAAGCTTGTGTGCCTTCAGTTTGCAAATGCGTCTTTCTCTCTGCATCTACAGTCTCTTAACTGCTTTGATGGCCTCATCTTATTTGGGGGAAATGCCAAAAATACAAATATGTTTTCATAACAATATAAAAACAATTCACTCCATGATCTTTGCCCCTTAACCCCATGCTACTGTATTAGTTGGTTCCCTTAAAATTGGGTTTTTTTATGCAACTACAGCAGCAGCTGATATATAGCATATTTGGATATGCTAAGGATGAAATCATGCTCCTCCAAATAACCTTAAATAACCTTGGTATTCACCGTAGGATTTCATTTGGTTCCCAATGCCAGTATTACTTATAGTTCCTTCTGTATTAGCCAAATTCATTGTAATTGTCTTCAAAAGTAATTTGAAGATTATTAAATATCTTAAATTACAGAACAGGATATCACTTAACAGAAAGTCTTTGAAAATTATCTTTGACACTTGTTGGCCCTGATAAGTGATGATTAGTAGAATTGGTTGAAGGGACAAGGAGAAAGCAAGCTAACTTAGAAGTAGCACCGATGGCTCTTTCCTATTCTATTTTATTAATACTTCCTCTGTTTGTAGCAAAAGGATGAGATTTTTATGGTCAGCAAATCCCTGTAGAGGAATTCTTACTGACATTTAGTCTCCATCTCTTCTTTTTTAATGTTATAATGCTTTAAAATAGTGAATTGTTCTACGAGAATGTGGAAGGATCAAGTAACTTAGCTACTCCACCTCAACTTTTTTTTTCCTGTAAAACAGGGATGATAATATCTACCTTCATCAAGTTTAGGGGGAATAAAATGAATTAATATATGTAAAGCACTTAGCATAGTGTCTAGCACATAATAAGCACTGTCGGTGTTAGCTGTTCACATTATTTTACAAACATTCAATGTTGTATTCAGATAACAAAAGCAATAAAAACTTAAGGACAACTTGATAAAATCAAGGGAATAAAAATATGCTTTATCAATGATTTTCAACTATGTGGACAGAATCGTTTTGTGGGTTTGGCTTGGTTTGGTTATTTAAAGTTGACATGGGTTTAAAAGATAGAGAAACATTGCTTAAGGATGGAAGAAGGTGGATCATTTTCTGTCTCAGGAACATTTTACATTTAGAGACCATTTAGAGACCTAAGATAATGTGCCAATTTTTGGTTTTTATTTATGAAGATACACTTTCCGATCATTGCTGGTAATTTCTATTAGCATGCACGTTGCAAACTGGTAAATCCTCTTGTCAACTTTGACTTCTGCTAATTAAATTTACAATACCCATATTCACATACTGAATCTTCTCTTTTTCTCTGGTGTAAAAGGCTTTAGTTTGTTAATCAGTACTCAATATAGCAAATGATTTTATTGAAGATATTATTTACATTTTGTTAAACAGGACTGTCTGATATAGCAAAGAAATGTTAACAAGCTTGCCCCATGGGGACTAAATGGCATTTGCACACCTCCCCTTTCCCAGTCATAGTGATAACCAGAAATGTCCCTACACATTTACAAATATCCCAGGTAGGGTACCACCCCCAGTTGAGAACCACATCTTCATATTTGTAAGGCCTCATTGCTTGGAACGTTATTATTTATGCCTAAGCATTTTTCAGAATCGAATGAGCCATAACAAAATGCTACCTATTTCCTATACCTAGTCACTTGAACCTTTGTCTAAAACTCAGTCTAAACATATTGCTGATTTTAGTTCTACCTTTCTCTGTTATTTTTATTTGAAGTTAGTCTTTTCCAGTCTCCCTGCATGTGTTTCTGCCTTAGCAGTTTTGCCTTGATATGTTAGTAACTTTCATTCTTTTCCTAACTTAAGCCTTTGTTTTCTTCTTTCATGTCACAGGGTATATATATATTTCAAATATTCAAGTATGAACATTTCTTGAAAATCAATTTTTAGAATCTTTCAGGGATATGTTTACATTAAATGGTATAAAAACAAAATACTATAACCCTCATGGTTATGCCTTTTTCTATTAATCATATTTGTTTATCTTTTAAAAGTTGAGTGTACTGTGCAGTACTAAGTATTCCAGAGAAATGATGAGTATTAATAAAGCATTTTCCCAGATTTTTTTTTTTTTTTTAATTGTAAGTTGACCCTCACAGGAATTGGTTGCTTTAAATTGTGTTTAGAAGACTAAGGATTACTTGATTTCTCTTTTGGGTGCTTAATAGAAAAAAAAAGGTTTGTGTAATTGTGATACCTATGTTATACAGTGTATTCACAATACATTGTCTTTTTTTTAAACAAGGAAGTAGTGCTTGAAATACAAATGCTTGTTGGAAATTCCTCAGTGGATTCCTAAAATTAGTCTGGGGGAAAATGTGTGTGTGTGTGTGTAAAATATATATTTGGAAGAAAATGTTGGAGTTATCTAGGGAATTGGTAATGGAAGTGGAAAATATTCGTAAGTCAACATCAGAAAGATTTTATCCACTGACCACATGTTTTTGACTCTGTGGTAGGCATCTCCAAGGAAAATCATAAGGTATACGTTAGCTTATCCACATGTCAAATATCAGTTCTTTCAAAAGATTTTGGAAAGAATGTCAGTGACAGCTGCCTATTTCCAGCTTCCAAACTATTAACAATATGACATTTACTTGTGTCATTTATGAAATATAAGTGTGTAATATTCCAAATCACTCTTTCAGGTCATTATTTGCTTAGTATTTAGAAGACATTTTATAATCATATCACTTTTTTTTTTAGGTTCAAAAGGCAGATTCCTATACAGTTTAGACATACAAAAGTATGCGTCTCCATTAAAATTTTTTTACCTTTCACAGAAAAAGAAAAAAGGACCAAGAGGAAATCTTAAAATTATAAGCTAAGGGTTTGAATGTTCAAGATTAAGATACAGTCATCACTAGCTTGTCTTTTAGGTAGTATATATATTCCAAGATAGAAAAATAAACATGTTATTTTTAAAATTGTTTTTCAAAGTGATTATGCTGATTATGTGTCTTTTAATATTTCAAGGTATTTCTGTGTTTGTTTTGTAAAACAATGGGAAATCCAGAAAACATAGAAGATGCATATGTTGCTGTTATTCGTCCAAAGAATACTGCCAGTCTCAATTCTCGGGAATACAGAGCTAAGTCATATGAAGTGAGAACATTTACTAACATTTTATTTGCTACCACTGAATGTCATTTTCATTTACATAAAGTCTTATCATATCCTCTAAATTCTTCTTGACAACCTAGATCTTGAAAAGGTAGAATTGATGCTCCTAGATCTCTGCCCATCACTATATGTCTTTTTGTCTGTTGCATGCTTTTTGACCATTTTTCTATTGATTAATAGGTATAAATTATTAGATATTAAAAGGTAGTTGAGTTTTCCTTATATAGATTTAGTTTTTAGTACAATTTATGAAATGGCTCTCAAAAATTAAAAAAAAATTGCAAAAGTCAGCTCATTCCAAATTCAATGTAAATATTATTCTTGGTTATTTCCCTAAAGAACTGTTTTTAACAGTTCATTTTAAAATATCTTTCTACCTTTAATTAAAGTTTTAAGCAATTAAGTTACTTCTCTGTAGTCCTGAATTGTATTAAATATATTAGTAAATGTGATTGAAGCCAAAAAACCCCCGAAAAACCCTAAAACACAATTATCTTTTTTATGCAACAGATTCCAAGCATCACAGAATACTTCTAATCTAACCTAACTCCAACTAATTTCTCTAGCACTTTGCTCACATTGCTTTTTTAAGGTTAGTTATCTGAAACCTATTAAAGGATATTGCAGAGGCTCTCAGGAGGCTGCTGTTTTCAGCAGTGCTCTGGTTTACTAGTTCTCAATCCTGGCTGCACGGTTGAATCATCTGGGGAACTTTAAAACTTCCAGTACCAGGGCCCCCCTCCCCAGACATTCTGATTTAACAGGTCTAAGATGAAGCTAGACATTGCTATTGTTTTAAAAGCTTCCCCAGATATTCTAATATGAAGCTGGGGTTAAGAAAGACTGCTGGCTTATTATATTCTAGGGCAAGTAAACTTTATTTTAAACTTTCTCTCTTTAAATTTTTCTTATCTAAGATTTTGTTGCATGAAGTTCCCATTGAAGGACAGAAAAAAAAGAGAAAGAAAGTTTTGTTGGAAACTAAACTTCAAGGCAACAGTGAAATAACACAGGGCATATTGGATTATGTAGTAGAAACCACCAAACCAATTTCTCCTGCAAACCAGGGTATTAGAGGTAGGAAACACTTTTGTTTTTTTTTTTTTATACACAGTTTGCTTTAAATGCTTGTAGAGAAAGATACTTTTAAAAATGTATTAAGATCAGTTTCTTTTGGGTTGCCTGACTGGCTCAGAGTCATTAGTGTGAGACTTTTAATCTTGGAGTTGTGAGTTCAAGTCCCATGTTGGGTGTAAAGATTACTTAAGAATAAAATCTTTTTTTTTTTTAAAAAAAGGGGATCAATTTCTTTTATGTTCCTTTCCATTTAAAAAAAACTTGAGGGGCGCCTGGGTGGCTCAGTCGTTAAGTGTCTGCCTTCGGCTCAGGTCTTGATCCCAGGGAGGCCCTCATCGGGCTCCCTGCTTGGCAGGAAGCCTGCTTCTCCCTCTCCCACTCCCCCTGCTTGTGTTCCCTCTCTCGCTGTGTCTCTCTCTGTCAAATAAATGAATAAAATCTTTAAAAAAAAATAAAAATAAAAAAAAACTTGATGGGTGCCTGGGTGGCTCAGTCTGTTAAGCGTCCACTTCTTGGTTTCAGCTCAGGTCATGATCTCAGGGTTCTGAGATCCAGCTGCCTCTCGCTCTGCACTTAGCGAGGAGTCTACTTGAGATTCTCTGCCTCTCCCTTCCCCCCCCACACCCTGCTTTCACAGGCATGCACTCTCTCTCACTCTCAAATAAAATCTTTAAAAGAAAACTTGAAAAAGACTCAGAAAACATCTTTTAAGGTATAGCAAAGCCTTTCAAGAAATAACTTGACTGAGCCTGGGTGGCTCAGTCTTTTAAGTGTCTGCCTTCGGCTCAGGTTATGATCCTGAGTCCTGGGATCCAGTCCCACATTGGGCTCCCCAGGGAGCCTGTTTCTCTCTCATCCTCTGCCTGCACCCTCCCCAGCTCATTCTCTCTCTCTCTCTCTCAAATAAATAAATAGGGGCACCTGGGTGGCTCAGTCGTTAAGCGTCTGCCTTCAGCTCAGGTCATGATCCCAGGGTCCTGGGATCGAGCCCTGCACCGGGCTCCCTGCTTGGCAGAGAGCCTGCTTCTCCCTCTCCCACTGCTTGTGTTCCCTCTCTTGCTGTGTCTCTCTCTGTCAAATAAATAAATAAATAAATAAATAAATCTTTAAAAAAAATAAAATAATAAAAAATTTTGTGAACACAAAAAAAGTATACTTATCTTGATGAGCACTGAGTAATATATGGAGTTGTCGAATTGTTATATTGTATACCTGAAACTAATACAACACTGTATTTTAACTGTACTGGAATTAAAATAATTTTTTTTCTAATTCTCAAGGAAATTTATAAAATTTAAAAGCCCATTATTTTTATCTTTACTGATTTTTAAAAATGGTTAGGAAAGCGAGTGGTACTAATGAAGAAATTTCCTCTGGATGGAGAGAAGATGGGCAGAGAAGCAGCATTATTTATTGTTCCATCAGTTGTCAAAGGTAAAGTCTAAGTTTTATGAATCTTTATGTACTCTTGATGCTAAGTTAAAGTCTACTGAGGAATTTAGTAACTCACATTCAGTTACTACTATAATACTGTCTTAAAATACCTATTTTTCAGTTAGTTAAGATGAGGAAATTTATTAAAAAAGGTATTTTGATTTTAAAGTAATATTCAGCCTTCTGGACTAAACAGTAATGTTTTTATTTCTGGTTTTAAAAGTAGAATAAAGAAGTGAGGAGGGAAGCTATAATTGAAATTAAAAATTTCCAGGTTATAATAAGGGATTTTTTAAAGGATATGACTAGAAATAGATATTTCAGTATTTTAGAACATTAACAGACTATGATCAGGACCTATCTGGTATTTGGCACAAGAAGGTGTTAATAATAGTTCTAAAATACTCTGCCTGACAGCATTAGTAATATTTAAAGAATTTAGATCTAATGTAAAAATTTAACTTGAGCCTTTGACATCCTGGAATAATTGAAAAATACTAAATTTCAGTGCAGACCTTTCAGCCTACTAATTTTGTGCCTTTGGACAAATCACCTTTTTAAGCCTCAGCTCTATTTGTAAGATAGGTATCTGCTTCTACTAAGTTCATTGTGCTCAAAGAATTCAATGAGGTATTAGATATGAAAACCACTTTGGAAACTAAATTTAGAGTACTGGCCTCCTATAAGGCAGCAATAAGACTGATGATAAATTAATGACCCAGTGTGGATATGCCATCATCATGCTGCTCACATAGTACTTATATGTATTTTATGAGCCAGCTCTAGCATTCCAGATACATATTTTTTTCCCCAGCCATACTTAGGCTAAAAAGTACAATATTTTAAAATGGTGTTGGGAATCTTATTAATCAGAGTTTTACAATATTGTTGAAGAAGAGAAAGAGGAAACAATTTCTGCAATCCTCCAAGAATATAGGTCTTCTAATTCCAAATGGATAAGGTCACAGAACTGGTCATCAATTTAATCAAGGTTTTCTATATCCAAATCTAAAAGAATTCATGTTACACTTAACTACTTTTTAAAATATACTATATAATTTTAAATGAAAAACATGCAGTTGTAAACCTTTTATATGATGGCATTATTCATTTTCTTTTTCAGATAATACTAAATATACATATACTCCAGGATGCCCAATTTTTTACTGCTTACAAGATATTATGCGAGTCTGTAGTGAATCCAGCACTCATTTTGCTACACTTACAGCAAGGATGTTAATAGCCTTGGACAAGTAAGAAATGCCACTAAAAATATTTTTTTAATTAATCAAATACAGGTTCATAGTAGAAATTAGCTCTGATAGAACAGAAGAAAATAATAAAATTAATAATATATATGTAACATAATGTTAAGTTTTTGAAGTACAATATAAAAATGAAAAGCCCCAAAGACAAGATTGTCCTGGTTTGCTTGCAACAGCTAATCTTTTTTCAAAAATGACAAAGACTGCCCTGGAATAAGAATTAAGATTCCTGGGCGCCTGGGTGGTTCAGTCGTTAAGCGTCTGCCTTCGGCTCAGGTCATGATCCCCGGGTCCTGGGATCGAGTCCTGCATCAGGCTCCCTGCTCGGCAGGAAGCCTGCTTCTCCTTCTCCCACTCCCCCTTCTTGTGTTCCTGCTCTCGCTATCTCGCTCTCTGTCAAATAAATAAATAAAGTCTTTAAAAAAAAAAGAATTAAGATTCCTTATTATAAAACTAATTTAGTTTTTGGTTTTTTTTTTTAATTTTCAAGTTGAGTTACCACTGCCTTTATATCCCCTCCTACTTTGCACTAGTTCCCTTATTTCCATCCTTTCTCCACTATTTTAATAGAATTATGTCTTTAAAAATAGTTAATCTTAGGAAACAAACTGAGGGTTGCTGGAGGGGGGGATGGGGTAACTGCGTGATGGACATTGGGGAGGGAATGTGTTGTAATGAGCACTGGGTATTATATAAGACTTATGAATCACAGACTTGTACCCCTGAAACAAATAATACACTATATGTTAATTTAAAAAATAGTTAAATATTGTGTAAGACTGATGAATCACAGACCTGTACCTCTGAAACAATACATTTTATGTTAAAAAAAAAAAAAGAAGATAGTAGGAAGGGAAAAATGAAGGGGGGGAATCGGAGAGGGAGATGAACCATGAGAGACTATGGACTCTGAGAAACAAACTGAGGGTTTGGGGGTGGGGATGGGTTAGCCCCGTGATGGGTATTAAGGAGGGCACGTATTGAATGGAGCACTGGGTGTTATATGCAATGAGTCATAATGATGTAATGTATGGTGACTAACATAACATAATAAAATTTTAAAAAATAGTTAAATAAGCAAATACTAAAGTTCTTTTTCTGTTTTCCCTGATGTTCGGTCACACGGCTCCTCAAGTTCCAACAGATTTAGTACTGAGTTACTCTTAGCAGTGAACAAGTTGTTTAGCCTCTCATGCCTTTGTCCTTCTGTAACTACAGAGCTAATGTCACCTCTGTCTCAGTGGTTTTAATTTTAAAAGTACTTCATGTTTTTTGAAAGGGGTTTTTATTATAATGGTATATGCATTTTAAAAATAGTTTGCTGTGTCTATTAGCAAAACTTTTATTATTAGTAAATGAAGTATTTAATGAACACTAGTTAAAAATTTAAAAATCTGAATGTAATATTAGAACATATCACATCTCAGAGTTTGATGGTCTCCTTTTTTCATCTTCATATTTGAACAAATACTTCTGTGACCTCCTCTTTCTATTTTGCCAGGTGGTTAGATGAACGTCATGCACAATCTCACTTTATTCCAGCTTTATTCCGACCTTCTCCTCTTGAGCGGATAAAAACTAATGTCATAAACCCTGCATATGCAACTGAATCAGGTCAGACAGAAAACTCACAACATATGGGCTACAGTGCACTAGAAATAAAGAGTAAAATGTTAGCCCTAGAGAAGGCAGATACTTGTATTTACAACCCTTTGTTTGGATCAGATCTTCAATATACAAACCGGGTAAGAGTTGAATGAATTTTGGCTCTGATTTCAAAGACATTTTATCTGAAGTACAACTTTTTTCTAAAGTAAATATACCTGTTACTAATTGCAAATGTTAAGATGACATCTAGTTAGTTGTATTTATTTAGTTGTGTTTAGCTGTGTTTATATCAATTAAAGTCAAGTATCTAAATCTCTTAAGGGGTTTTGTTTTTGTTTTTTCTATTTTCCCTTTTTAGGTAGATAAAGTGGTAATAAATCCATACTTTGGTCTAGGAGCTCCAGACTACTCAAAAATCCAAATTCCCAAACAGGAAAAATGGCAGAGAAGTATGAGCAGTGTCACAGAAGACAAGTACTGTTTTGGTTTTACTCCATATTGCTTTTTTAAAACTTACATTATAATGTTAAAATGATATATGTAGTTAGTATGCAATGTAACCATTGCATAAAAGATTTAGTTTGCAGCTGCTAAGTGATATATGGCTTTCAGAGATATGTCATGTTTATTTTGAAACAATTTGAATTTCAACAGTGCTTTTTAAAAAAATTATCTGTTTTTAATGATTAGGGAACGACAGTGGGTAGATGACTTTCCTCTCCATCGAAGTGCCTGTGAAGGAGATTCAGAATTACTAAACCGTCTTCTCAATGAAAGATTTTCTGTCAACCAATTAGATAGTGACCACTGGGCGCCCATTCATTATGCATGCTGGTAAATGGATTACTTTTTTTTTCTTAGAAGCAATGAATCCTAGTTATAAATGTTAGTGCTTCTTTTCAGAACTGTTGTCATTCCAGCCACTTTTTCTCTACCACATTTTGCCTTACGGGCTTTCTATTTAGATCTTTGATTGTTTATATGTACCACTGTTCAGAATTACAAGGTCTGCCCCATGGGAAAAGTATCATTATACAGCACTAGGTCCCTCATTCACCCTTGTAATTTCTATTGTTTTGTATTGGAGTTATATTAAGTTTGTTTACCCTTACTATAAAATTTACATGATGTAACTACTTATGATTTGACATTGATCATGTTAGAAAACTATTCATTTAGTTCTTGGGGAAGCTGTGGCATCAAGAATCTCCCAAAATCTTTCATTAGAATGAATGCCATTCTTTCTTTCTTTCTTTTTTTTTTAAGATGAGAGGGATTAGCTCACAAGATTGGGGTTAGCTGTTTCCACTAGTTGCCCATCGTAGCTCTTGCTCTCCTACTCTTCCCACATGATGGTAACTCTTCCCCTCAGCTGATCTGAGTTCTTACATTTGTGTTCATAGCAGTAGTTAACTGTCAGCTATAGTTTATCCTCTAGAAGGGATGTAATGAAGTTATTTACCATTATTTCTTACATGAAAGTTGCTTTTGACTTATTGTTTAAAGTGATCTTCCTTGGCTAGTTTAAAAAGTGCCTACATTATTCACTGCTTGTTAAGTGTCTGCTACTTCTTAGCTGAGCAACATTTAGCAAGATACTTCACTTCTCCATATCTCAGTCTATTTATCCATCTGTAACGGCATTAATTAGATCATTGCTAGAGTTCTTTTCAGCTCAAAATTCTTTTAATTTCACTGATTCCAAAATTTGTGATCCTGTAGCTAAATATAGTTGCTTTTAATATCCATCTTTCCTCCCTTAAAAATATGCTGTTTCCCTAAAAATAGGCTCCTTTATTCAAGAAATATGCTCTTAATTTTTTCCTGTTTCCTTAAAAATAGGCTCCTTTATTCTGTAAGTGTGTTCTTAGTTGTTTTCCCGTTAACATGGAATTTTCTACTCATATTTGGAGTTACCCTAAATCTTTTTAAACTGAACCTATAGTTGTTTCTTCAGATTACTAGTAAATATTGGTAGCAGCAGTACTGAAAGAAATCACATATCTTACCTGGAGCTAAACAAAAAGTAAACTGTGGAATTGGGAAGACAGAGGCAGAGAATTTTAGTTTAGGAATCCCAAATTTATATTTGGTTAGTATTGTCCCTTTTTTTGTGGCATTGGTTATTTTCTAATAAAAGAATGGTAATATTTATATTTTAAGAATGGTAGTATTTTTAAGTACATATTACATAAAAATAGAAGTATGGTATTTAATGTTCTTTGAAATGTCCTTAGGTTTCAGTCCGAATAACTCTCATTTCCTAGAAGTCTGACCTTTGGCAAGTTATTTAATGTCTCTAAGGACCTGTGTCTTCATCTGTGAGATGGACTTAATAATAGTACATTTCTTAAGATTAAAGGAGAAAATGCAAATAAATGCCTTGAGGATACCTAGCACATAATAAGCACTCAATAAATGTTGGCTGTTATTATTAAAGTATTGTAAAAATTTAAAGATTTTGATGTCTAAATCTGAAATTCATAATCCATAGTATTTTTAATTAGAAAATCTTACTACTACAGTATACCAAGGAAAAGAGTTTTATCTTTTGATAAAATTAATTTTGTCAGTTGGAAATAACTAAGTTTAATGTACCAGGAGTAATATGGGTCACCTTGCAATACTTTTAATCAGATCATTTGATTAACGTAAATTTGAATAAAGACTGATTTAACCATTTAGTAAGAACTTAAATTACTTTATCTTAGAAATGTACTTTTAATCACTAATTGGTATAAGGATCAAGGAGGGGAATACTAGGCCATCTTATTAAGAGACTGAGATTTAGAGACTATCTTTATAAGTTTATACAAGATGTTTTACCCCTCTTGGTCTGTTTTCTCATCTTTAAAGTGAGGGTTTTATTAGATTGGTGCTTCTCCAACTTTTTGGTGTCAGGACCGCCTTTCATTCTTAAAAGTTACAGGATCCCAAAGAGTTTTGTTTATGTAAGTTATATCTAATGTCATTTAACATATTAGAAGTTATACCCAAAAAATATTTTAAGTATTAATTCATTTAAAAATAACAATAAACATATTAACATAAATAACAATTTTATGAAAAAATACCATATTTTCCAGAATAAAAAAAATTAACTAGAATAGTATTATTTTACATTCTTGCAAATCTCTTTATTTTCTAGCTTAGTAGAAGATAGCTGGATTCTCACACCTGATTCTGCCTTTAATTTGCTGCAGTATTATATGGCACATGGCTTCTAGAAAACCCCACTGTACACTTACGATCAAAAAAGAGTTTAAAGCCTGGGTGGCTCAGTTGGTTGGGCGACTGCCTTCGGCTCAGGTCATGATCCTGGAGTCCCGGGATCGAGTCCCACATCGGGTTCCCTGCTCAGCTGGGAGTCTGCTTCTCCCTCTGACCCTCCCCCCTCTCATGTGCTCTCTCTCTCACTGTCTCTCAAATAAATAAATAAAAATCTTTAATAAAAAAAAGAGTTTAAAGGATAAATAACATCTTAATATTATTATGAAAATATGTTTCATTTGGAGAATACTCTGAAAAGATTTAAGGGATTCTTAGGGCTTCCCAGATCACTCTTTGAGGACAAACCCTAAGATTGCTGCAAGCTTTTCAAATTCTCATATTGGTGGCCACGTACCTGAAAACCATTCTTTTTTTTTTTTTAAAGATTTTGTTTATTTATTTATTTATTTGAGAGAGAGAGAGAGAGAGAGACAGCGAGAGCAGGAACACAAGCAGGGGGAGTGGGAGAGGGAGAAGCAGGCTTCCCGCGGAGCAGGGAGCCCAATGCGGGGCTCGATCCCAGGACCCTGGGATCATGACCTGAGCCGAAGGCAAACGCTTAACGACTGAGCCACCCGGGCGCCCTACCTGAAAACCATTCTTTACTAGAATCACCATTTTCCAAAACTATTTAAGTTGGCTTTCTCCCCATATGGGCAACTTAATCAGCCACTCAGTAAATGTTTCACTGACATCACACATTCTCTGACCTTTCTCACATCATTGTCTTCGCTCTCTGATCCTGCTTTTAGGCTTCATGTCATTGCTGGAGAGTGTTTAGAGCTCTGATGATTTGACCCTTCAAATGACCCCACCTTCACTGGAGCTTAGCTGTCTATCCTCTTTGTCTCATTCATCCTGTCAGCCTTTTAGTCCTCCCCTAGGAGCTGTTCTGAACCTTTCTCCTCTTAAGCACTTAAATTCCCACTACTTCCTTTCTCTACTCTCGTCAGATAGTTTTACCTCCTATTTTCAAAGAAAATTGAAGCCGTTGGAAATGTCCTTCTCTGTGGTTTTTGTTCTCGCCTCTCTCCTATATCATGGGGTATGCAAGTAGAAATCCTTGTTTACCTTAAATTCACTATCTGTACTTTCTTTTCTCTTGCCTTCAAACATACATGGTTCTCTTCCTCTTGAAAAGAACATTAATTTGACCCTGCTCCCTCTTCTGGCCACTGTCCTGTTTCTTCCCTTCCTTTCACAGCCAGACTTCAAAGGTGAGTGGGCCACACTCACTGTTGTCTCTTTTTCACTCTTCATGAACCTTCTTAAACTTTTCTGAGTTTTTAATCTCTTTCCCTGCTCTAGAGCATTAATACTGTTGACCAACCCCTTCATTCTAAGAACAAATTGGAGTTGAAGGGGCATAATGGAGCTATAATGAAGGTCAGTACGAATGCAAGATATTACTGTTACATGATCATTATTATTGAAATATTAGCTTCCATTCTGTGACCTAAGCATGTGTTATGGTATGGAAACTGCTGTACTAAGATTGAGAAACCTGGATTCTAACACTGGTCAGTAACCATGGGACCTTCAGCAAGTTACTTACCTGGTTCAAGCTTCATTTTTCTTAACTGTGTCATAAAAATACTTCTGCATGCCTTATAGGTTGTTCTGAAGATTATTTTAAGTAATTATATAAGAAAGTACGTTGAAAACTTAAAAGCATCATACAAAATGTACATTTATATTATCTTTATTACTTGAATTGCTTAGAAGTATCTTTTCCTGTCCTGAAAGATTGTTTTTCAAGATGCATTTCATTGTTCTAAGATACACATTTTTCATTTTTCAGATTCTCCCAGCCTTTTTTTTTTTTAAGGTTTTATTTATTTGAGGGGCGCCTGGGTGGCTCAGTCGTTAAGCGTCTGCCTTCGGCTCAGGTCATGATCCCAGGGTCCTGGGATCGAGCCCCGCATTGGGCTCCCTGCTCGGCGGGAAGCCTGCTTCTTCCTCTCCCACTCCCCCCTGCTTGTGTTCCCTCTCTCGCTGTGTCTCTCTCTGTCAAATAAATAAATTAAATTAAAAAAAAGATTTTATTATTTGAGAGAGAGTGAGAGAGCACAAGCAGGGGGAGGGGTAGAGGGACGGGGGGCGGGGAACAGGCTCCCCACTGAGCAGGGAGTCTGATGCGGGGCTCGATCCCAGGACCCTGGGATCAGGACCTGAGCCTAAGGCAGATGCTTACCGACTGAGCCACCCAGACACCTCCCCCCGCTTTTTTTTTAAAGATTTTATTTATTTATTAGAGAGAAAGAGAGGGAGAGCATAAGCAGGGGGAATGGCGGACAGAGGGAGAAAGAAGCAGACTCTCTGCTGAGCAGGGAGCCCAATGCGTGGGACTCAATCCCAGGACTCTGGGATCATGACCTGAGCTGAAGGCAGATGCTTAACAGACTGAGCCACCCAGGCGCCCTAAATTCTCCCAGCCTTAACAGTAATTCTTTTCAGTTAGATGAATTTGCTTATTTTCAGATAGATACTCCAAACCTTTGCCTTCCTCCTGAGTACTAAGCTTGCATTTTCAAATACCTACTGAACAGTTCAGTCACTCTCTTTTTGTCTATAAGGCAGTTTAGAGAATGCAGAGACAGTGTATCTACCCTCAAGGAATTTCCAGGCTATTAGAGAAGAGATGTATATAAATAAGGGTGAAAGTAGATAAAAGAAGTCCCATAAAAGAAGCAAAAAACATGCTACATGTAGTGGAACTATAGAAGAGGTAGATTTTAAACTGTTGCAGAGAAATAACAGAATTTAACCTAAACAAAATGAGATAGGGAGAAAAGGACATCTCAGGAACAGCAAAGAACTTGAGCAAAATGTCAAATGAATTGGAAAGGGTAGCATACAAATGGCAGGTTCAGGGTATAAGGTTATATAGAGGGGAAGAAAGGAAAGTTGATGGCAAATCAGATCACTTCTAAAGATGTATTATTTTCCCCTCAAATGTACCATATCTGAAAGCAAATTTCCTTTCCCCTTCCCCCACCCCCACCCATTTATTTACAAACAGTGAATTACTTTTCCGCCATTGCTTCAGATTGCAGCCTTATATAAGTCTTTGGCTCTGAGGAAATGGTGGACTCAACTACGTCCGACACATGCTTTGTACTCTACTGGGTCCTTGCTTTGCTTAGTCCTTTCCCCCCACCTAAAATATTTTTACCTCTCTTCAACATCTCTTTGGTTCCTTCCTACTTAAAATCCACTTCAGGGGCACCTGGGTGGCTCAGTTGGTTGAGCGACTGCCTTCGGCTTGGGTCATGATCCTGGAGTCCTGGGATCAAGTCCCGCATCGGGCTCCCTGCTCAGCGGGGAGTCTGCTTCTCCCTCTGACCCTTTTCCCTCTTGTGCTTTCTCTCTCTCTCAAATAAATAAATAAAATCTTTAAAAAAAAATTAAAAAAAAATCCACTTCAAATTGTTCTATCAATTCAGGGAGTGGTAGACTAAAGTCCTATCTTTTCTGACATTTTTTAAAGTATTATATACTAATTTGACTTGACAAACATATAGCGCCTATTATATGTTGATTGCTATCCTAAACTGTTACTTAAATTTTACAGCATAATGTAACTTATCCCATGTTTTTGTTTTACCTCTCTTATTACATTGTAACCCTTTATTAGAGCAGAAACTATCTATCTAATGGTTTAAATATTTAATATTTAAATTTTAATATTTAATATTTATTAATGTGTCTTATGTATCTTATGGTTTAAATATTTAATATTTAAATTTTAATGTCTAATATTTAATATTTAAATATTACAGTGTGGGAGACACAAAAGTCTTTGGATATGTAGCTGCCCAACACAGCCCAATTCTATCTTTGGGCCTATTTTGCAAATCACAATCAGGCCTAAGTGAAAGCATTATGAAGTTTCTGATTCTGAACCTATTTTTGACTAAAAATTTTATCTCCCTAATTCATAATTTTTATACTTTGTGTGGGGGGAGTTCTTTGTCATCTGCTCTGTCTTCTATTTGAAGTTATATTTCCTCCCACTTGATCAGAAACAGAAACAGTTGAACTGAACAAGAAGAATTCATAAGAAATCCCTAGGCACTGAAAACATTTATGTCAATGTCTTACTAAAAAAAAAAATCTTAGATTTCTTTGAGGTAATCATCTAATTTTTGAATTTTTAAAACATTTTATATGACTTTTTTGGGTAAGTTTTATCTTTTTTTTATAGGTATGGAAAAGTTGAGGCCACTCGCATTTTGTTAGAAAAAGGCAAGTGCAATCCAAATCTTTTAAATGGACAGCTTAGTTCTCCTCTTCATTTTGCTGCTGGAGGAGGACATGCTGAAATAGTACAGATTCTCCTAAACCATCCAGAAGTTGACAGAGTAAGTTATTTTCCAGGTTTTTTTTTTTTTTTTAATGTTCAAGCAATGAATAACAAGTAATGACATTAAAATGTTCAGTTGTATACTTGAGAAGTCAACTAAAAAATAAATTTTACCATCTATATGAGTAATATTTATGTATAAACTTTGCTTTTATACTTGTTTTTATTGTGATAAAATGTACCTCACATAAAATTTACCATTTTAACCATTCTTAGATGTACAGTTCAGTGGCATTAAATACATTCACATTATTGTGCAATCATCACTATCATCTATCTCCTGCATTAAATTTAACCTCTTTTTCTTTTTTTTTTTAAGATTTTATTTATTTATTTGACAGAGATAGAGAGAGAGAGCACAAGTAGGCAGAGAGGCAGGCAGAGGAAGAGGGAGAAGCAGGCTCTCTGCTGAGCGGGGAGCCCAATGCGGGACTCGATCCCAGGACCCTGGGATCATGACCTGAGCTGAAGGCAGCCACTTAACCAACTGAGCCACCGAGGCACCCAAAATTTAACCTCTTTTTGTGTTATACTCTATTTCCTCAAAAAATATCCTTAAGAAGGAAAAAGATTTTCTATGCATTTTTCCAGAATTTGTATTAATAAATATTTTTAAAGGGGGAAATAATCATTTAAATAATTTTAAACAAAACCTTTGTTGGATCTTATAATCAGAACTTTTAAATATAATCACATTTATTAGTGCTTTCAGTCTTTCATCTTTATCAAGTAATGTTTAAATATAGTATATGCTAAGTATGGTTAATATTTAATACTTGACAAAAGTCTATTTTTTATGAAATTTTGATTGAATGACATTTTCACTTATAATGCCATATATTTGTAATGCTTTTTTTTTCATATTTTTCTTTTTTCCAAAATTTCTAGCACATAACAGATCAACAAGGAAGATCCCCTTTAAATATTTGTGAAGAAAACAAGCAAAATAACTGGGAAGAAGCTGCAAAGCTATTGAAGGAAGCCATTAACAAACCAGTAAGAATTACCTTCAGGAATAGAGCTAAGCCAACTATTTAAATTGATAAGTAATTTGAGTATTTGTGGCAAGAGGAATGGATGGATGGTTTCTTTACTGCTTTTAGAAAACCTCATGGTTAGATCTCTTAAGTATTAAATTTGTTATCACCCCTAACATTCAGACATTTATTCTTGCATACCAAAATAAAAATTGCATAAGTAAATAAATCTTTAAAACACTTAATATTAACCTAATTTCTAGTATAATCTTATTACTTGATAATGTCTGAAATAATTAGCAGTAACATTAAGATAGAGAAGAATTAACAATTAGAAAAAACTTGGTTCACCTAAAAGTTACAGTGACAAGAAAACTGTCATCAGTTTAAAAACTGTATGAAAACTTGCAAACCAGATAAAAGGATTTATACCAGACAAAGTATCAAAACTTGGTATCAACAGGGGCGCCTGGGTGGCTCAGTTGGTTAAGCGACTGCCTTCGGCTCAGGTCATGATCCTGGAGTCCCAGGATCGAATCCTGCATCGGGCTCCCTGCTCAGTGAGGAGTCTGCTTCTCCCTCTAACCCTCCCCCCTCTCATGTACTCTCTCTCTCTCTCATTCTCACTCTCTCAAAATAAATAAATATTAAAAAAAAACAACAAAAAAACTTGGTATCAACAGATATAATCTCTGAGCCTTTCCAGACATTTCCATCAATTAGGCAATAAGTATTTATGGAAATACTTATTGGAATACTTATGGAGTATCTCTGTGAATTTAACACCTTGAAATGCTGAAAATGACAGGTGATAAAGAATAAATATGTGATTTCTGCCTTTAAGGAATATTAACATATACACTCACCACACACTCAACAGATTTTGTCAAAATACTATTCCATGAGCACAAGACAAAGTCAAGGAAAGCAGTACAGGCACCCTTATATTATACTTGATTACAATTTATTTTCTAACTGTATAGAACACATTATTATTCCTGGCATAATTTTTATATTCTAAATGAACAAGATAAGAGGAATTAGTACTTTCATCCAAAATGAACTGAGCTGGAAGTTGTTTGGGCAATAAAATGTATTGAGAATACATTGAAAAACCACAATGTGGTATTACCTCACACCAGACAGAATGGCTAGTTTCAAAAAGGTAAAAAATAACAAGTGCTGGAGAAAGTGGAACCCTTGTGCACTATTGGTGGGAATGTAGATTGGTGCAACCACTGTGGAAAACAGTATGGAGGTTCCCCCAAAAGTTAAAAATAGAGGTACCATATGATCTGGTAATTCCACTACTGGGTATTTACACAAAGAAAATGAAAACACTAATTTGAAAAGATACATGCAATTGCTTCTCAGCCTTTTGGCTAAGATCAAGTGTAAAAAGATATGTGCATTTCTGTGTTTATTGCAATATTATTTACAGTAGCCAAGATATGGAAGCAACCTAAGTGTACATCAATAGATGAATGGAAAAAGAAGAGGTGGTGGTATATATAGACAATGGAATATTACTCAGCCATAAAAAAGAATGAAATCTTGTCATTTGCAACGGCATGGATGGACCTAGAGGGTATTTATTATGCTAAGTGAAATAAGTCAGACAGAAAGACAAATGCCATATGATTTCACTTGTATGTGGAATCTAAAAAACCAAACACACACAAAAAAATAGACTCCTAAATATAGAGAACAAAGTGTTGATTGCTAGAGTGGAGGGATGGGTGAGGGATGGGCAAAATAGGTGACAGGGATTTTAAATAAAACATACTGAGAATATTACTACTTTCTGAGATGTTCTGAACAGGAGGAAAGAAACTGGCTCAAGGTCCATTGTTCCATAACTTTCATATGCACAGTCTTCCATCACAGATTCCTCTTAGGAAAAATTATTTCTAGTACACATTTCTACAGTATTATTTGTGGCCCACTAGACTCATGAGATACCTGACTAACAGTAGACTCAATAACCAAGTCTATATCTCCCATGTGATACCTACTTAGTTCAGTAAAGCTTTTTTTTTTTTTTAAAGATTTTATTTATTTATTTGAGAGAGAGAGAGAGCACGAGAGGGAAGAGGGTCAGAGGGAGAAGCAGACTCCCCGCCGAGCAGGGAGCCCGATTCGGGACTCGATCCCAGTACTCCAGGATCATGACCCGAGCCGAAGGCAGTCGCCCAACCAACTGAGCCACCCAGGCACCCCTGAGTAAAGCTTTAAAACATCTCCCAGAAGAGTTTGAAGTTGAGTATTTCTTAAGAGCCATTTGCCTTATATTTGACCTGAAACATCCAGAGGAAAACATTGGAAAACATAATGGAAATAAAAATTTTTTTAAACCGTGCCAACAGATACTCGAAGCAGTTTTCTGTTATTTTCCATGTTTGAAATCTATAGTAAAACATATGAAGTTGAAATTGAAGCATTTTGTTAGGCTGGGATATATAGTTTCTAACCAGGTTGCATAATTTATTATTGTTCTTTGTCCTAGTATGAAAAAGTTCGAATATACAGAATGGATGGATCATACCGTTCTGTTGAACTGAAGCATGGAAATAATACCACAGTGCAGCAGATAATGGAAGGAATGCGTCTCTCTCAAGAAACACAGCAATACTTCACTATTTGGATCTGTTCAGAAAACCTCAGTAAGAAAGTTGTTACTCTGTTGTGTAAACCTAGTCCTTTGTGAGAGTGGATTGGTAAACTTAAGTATAGCATCAGTTTCTTAATGACTTTAAATTTTGAAGTGCTACAATGATCTTCTCTTTTATATAAATTACTAGTGTTCCAACTGTTGAAACAGGTAAGCCTTTGAGACCCCTCACCCCCCCCCTTAATTCAAAGCATTTTTTAAGTATTTGAAAACGTTTCTTCTCTGGCAATAGAATTTGATTTGAATGCCACTAAATGTAGTGCTCATCCAACTTGCTTTTATTGTCAGTGCTCATTTCACCTGAAATAATGCAAATGTTCTTTTTCTTTATATTAGTTTTCCATCAAATTTTTTTTTTAAGACCAACCTGACGCCACTATAGATTTATCTTTCAAGCAAAGTATTACAAATACATTGAAGTTACTGTGATTGGTTATTTAATGTTTAATTGTATTTTTTTTAAAACACCAGATCCTACTGATTGGATCATAATTAAATAGACTATAATGGAATTAAATATCTTATATACATTTGATATGTTTTATTTGTTTTAGGAATTCTCATAATTCTTACACTCTTAAAAACAAAAGCTCTTAACCTAAAATTGGGTTGTGATATAATTGGTTATAAAGTCAGTGATTTAAATTTAGACCTTTAATTTGTGTGTATTCAGCACTTAAGTACAGATAGTTCAATACAAATTTTCTATGTGTTGATGTAACTTATTTTTACATTATTATTTATAAAAGGAAAGATGTTTTTCAGGCCTTCAACTCAAGCCTTATCATAAACCCTTGCAACATGTTCGTGACTGGCCAGAAATACTTGCTGAATTGACTAATTTGGATCCCCAAAGGGAAACACCACAGCTTTTCCTAAGAAGAGATGTGAGACTTCCTTTGGAAGTTGAAAAAAAGGTTTGCTTGGAAATCTTATTTATAGTCATTTAAATGCACAGAATCTATTGAATTCCTGTGGTAGGCACTAGAAACAGAAGTTGTTCTCTTCCTATACGAGGAGGTTTTACTTTTGTTTTTCTGTTTAATCCTCACATCCCTAGGGTAAATGGTAGAGTTTGAGTTAGTCTACTTACAAAGCCCCTAGTTGGTTTTTTTATTTCCACGTCCATTGTCTTAGAAACAAAAGAAATAGAGAATCTATCCTAAAGAGAATTAACAACCAGATGGAAGACAGATTATACCAAAAAGAATTTTAGAATAGTTAGGAAGTACACTATCAAAGATAAATTTAATAAAAGGCTAATCAGTGTGTAAATTTCAAAGGAGCAGATAGGTTGGTGTGGGAGGAGAACAGAATACATTCTGAGTGAAGAAGATTGTATTTGCAAAGGGGACATAAAAATTATTCTCAATAGTAAATTTCCAAATCAAGCAGAGAATTATATAGATAGTAAAAAATGCAGATAGAACTTACATTTGATAAAAAGATTTGTTCCAGACAAGTACATTTGAATTAGAATTACTGTAAATTTTAGAGGAGAGGTGGGATAATGCTATCTGAAGGATGAATGGACAACAAAGAAACTTAAGGTGGATATTACAAGTTAAACTAGTGTGATAGTCTAAAAATTTTTTAAAATTGAAAAAAAAAAGTTCCAAGGGCTCATAACTTTGGCAAAGAAAAAACATACAATGCATTTCCTGATTCTTATCCAAGGAAATATTAAAGTTAAGGAAATTTTAGTATATGAAAAGTTCATCGACCATGTACAAACTTGGTAACTGTTTTATACTTGATCACTCATATTGTCCCTCTTATACTAGCGAACCAAAGATAGATATGATCCTTTCAGTGACATATACTGGGAATTATATAAAAATTTGTATGAAATTTACCAAAAACAAAGATCTAGATTATTCATAAAAAAATGTTAGAATTTCATAAATAGAACAGAGGAAGGGGCATCTGGGTGGCTCAGTCAGTTAAACAGCTGCCTTCGGCTCAGGTCATGATCTCAGGGTCCTGGGATGGAGCCCACACCCCTCCACCCCCCCCACCCCCATCAGGCTCCCTGCTCAGTGGGGAGTCTGTTTCTTCTTCTGCCCCTCCCCCCCACTTGTGCTCGACTCTAATAAATCTTAAAAAAAAAAAAAAAGGAAAAAAACACAGTTGATCATCTCAATTGATACAGAAAATGCATTTGACAAAATCCAATACCCTTTCATGATAAAACTCTTACAGTTAGGAATAGATGGGAACTTCCGCAACATGGTAAGTGGCATTTATGAAAAACTCACAGCTAACATCATACTCGATGAAATGTTGAGAGCTTTCCTCCTAAGATCAGGAACGAGACAAGGAGGCCAGCTTTCAGCACTGCTACTTAACATAGTAGTGAAGTTCTAACCAGAGTAAATAAATTTAAAAAAATACATAATAATGTCTAATATGTGATACATATTCAGATTTTCCCCAACTGTTTAAAAATCTTATATAACTCCCATATGTAGGATCTAGTCAAGGTTCATACTTTGTATTTGATTGTTATCTCTTTAGTCTCTTTTAATCTAGAATAATCCTCTCATCTTTTTTCCCCGTGAAATTCTTTCATTTTGTTTTCATATTATGTAGAGTATTAAAAGATTATTTTAGTTAGACAAAAATAACTTTTACCATAAGGAAGTGAAATCACTTTGAATTATATTTGGAAATACTTTTTTAAAATTTTACGTATTTGAGAGAGTGCAAGCAAGAGAGAGAGCACATGCTGGGGGGAGGGGCAGGGGGAGAGAGAGAAGCAGACTCCCCACTGAGCAGGGAGCCCGACGCTGGGCTCCATCCCCGACCCCAGGATCATGACCTGAGCCGAAAGCAGACGCTTAACTGATTGAGCCACCCAGGTGCCCTGGAAATACTTTAAGTATTCATTCAGAAACTCTATATAACTGTTTCCAGTTGGAGCAGAAGTATATTCTGTAGGCTAGCTTTTCAATCTTTGTTAATCTTATTGTATAAAATGAAACTTTATAAAGATTTTGAAACTTAGAAATCTCCTTTAGTGTTATTTCAAAGTGACAAGTTTTTTTAGCCAAGTAAAATTTAAAAAAAACTTTTAAATAAGGTTTTTTAAAACTACGTGTGCTCTTCTAGGAATTAACTTGCTTCCTTTTATCTTCCTTGAGGTTCACTACTATATTGTGTGAAACATGTAGAATAATGTTTGAGGAATATAAATATAATTTAGGTAAAATTGTGGTAGAAGTTATCCATATCTATAAACCAATAATATTTTATTAGACTGTAAATCAGAGATACAAACTATAGCCTATGCTATATTTGACCTGCTGTTTGTTTTTCTATACCCCACAAGCTGTTAATGGTTGAAAAAAATCAAAAGGATAATATCTCATGTCGTGTGAAAATTTTATGAAATTTAATTTTGAGTATCCATATAGAAAAAGTGTTATTAGAACACCACCACACCCGTGTCTTACTAGATTGTCTGTGGCTGCTTTTGTGGAACAGTAGCTGAGTTGGGTAGTTGTAAGAAAGACTTTGTAACTCATAAAGCTTAAAATATTATTATCTGGCTCTGAACAGGAAAAATTTGTCAACCTCTGCTCTAAATCAATAGCAGCTCATTTATATATAGGATATGTAGCTTTTGCTTTTGCATATTAGAAAGTGACAAGTTGTATATTTGTAACAGGAAATTATAGCCCAATAACCCAATTATACTTTTTCTTTTAAGATTGAAGACCCACTAGCTATTCTTATTCTCTTTGATGAAGCCAGATATAATTTATTGAAGGGCTTTTATACAGCTCCTGATGCTAAACTGATAACATTGGCAAGTCTACTGTTGCAAATAGTTTATGGAAATTATGAGAGTAAGAAACACAAGCAAGGTTTCCTAAAGTAAGTATTTAATATAGCATGTGGTCTTGTGCTGTGCTTGAGATTCTGTTTAACTGAGAAAGTTAAAAAATGTTATTAAGAAATATTTATACTTTGGTTTGGAACTAAAGGATACAAGGCATGGAATAAGGAAAAAAAACAAAAGCAATGGTAAAGCATTCTTAAAGTTATACTCTCTCCAAAGTTACTTTTCTTATATTTGACTATGGTTTCATGTATCTTATTTTTTTTAAAGATTTTATTTTTTTAAGTAATCTCTACACCCAACGTGGGGCTCAAACCCATAACCCTAAGATCAAGAGTTGTATGCTGTACTGACTGAACAAGCCAGGCACCCCTTGATAGACCTTATATTTTTTTCTTCTTTTTCTTTCTTTTATTACATTAAATAAGTTCATTAAAACCTGACTCGATAAGTAGATGCATTTAAGACCTGCCACAAAAACTAGCTACAAGTTCAGTCTTTAAGAGAAAACACTGAGGTTTTAAACACTGAAGCTTTATTGTGGTTTTCAATTTTCAAAAATATTTTGTGGTTGTTGAAAAAAGAAACATTTCTCTTAAATGAGAATGTTGGAGTTGTGGCCTTTTGCTTAAAATTTTGAGAGTTCTCTAATATTTAGAGATACATTTATAGATTTTTCAGCTCAAATATAAATATAGATTTTTCAGGTCAAAAATCATGTTACTTAAAGCAATTTGTTTCTGAATGATTTATGTACTTTACTAAAGATGATTTATTTAAAGCATGTTGGCATATCTGCTTACAGTGAAGAAAACCTAAAATCCATTGTACCTGTTACCAAACTAAAAAGTAAGGCACCTCACTGGACAAACCGAATACTTCATGAATACAAGGTAAGCTGATTAATAGTAATAAAAAGACACTTTATATCCTAGTTGAAATTTTGTGAATTAAATTGTTTGAAATTGTTTAATATGTTTTAAACATAGGTACATTAAATTTACAGTCCTGAAATTAAAAATGGATCTTCTAGTTCACATGAAACTGGAAGTAGCATGATATTTTTATTTTTAATAATGTGGCATCTTTTACTGAATGCCTCCTGTATGCTGGATACTGTGGCAAGGACTAGAGATTAAACACACACACACACACACACACACACACACACACACACACACACCCATGAAATTATACACTATCCCTGTCCAAGGGGCACTTAAAACCGAATAGAATAGACAAACGATATTTTTAGATTTTGATATTTCTTTCCTTTTTTAAATACTAACATCTCAAAAGAAAACTTGTTCTTGGGGTAATGTCACAATTTTATTCTTCTTTGGGGGCAGCCATGATTTTAGAAACTGCTTAGTTGACCTATTTGGATTATCAAAGGTATGTTCTCTTTTCACATCTCTTTTATTTTACTTTATTTGTTTTTAGAATCTTAGTACAAGTGAGGGTGTCAGTAAAGAAATGCATCACCTTCAGCGCATGTTCTTACAGAATTGTTGGGAAATTCCTACATATGGAGCAGCTTTTTTCACAGGACAGATATTTACAAAGGCAAGCCCCAGCAATCATAAAGTCATCCCTGTGTATGTAGGAGTGAATATAAAAGGACTTCATCTCCTCAACATGGAAACTAAGGTAGATTTTCAGCTTTTCAGCTATTTTTGACCAGTTACATTTTATAATGTCTAAAAAAAAACGGTACCAGCCTATATGAAAAATCTAGAAATGACAAATATATAAGACTATTCATTGCAATTTCATTTGTAATAGCAAAGGATGAGGGATGAAAAGTAAATGAGTGTCAGTAAGGGGTTAATTATATTATTAACATATACTAATTATATAATTATATTAATTATAGTACATTTCTATGTTGAAATACTGTGCAGCCATATAAAAGAATGAGGAATGTATAGAATGATTTCCAAGATATATTTAGTGAAAAAGCATAGTGATGAACCATATGTAATAGGTTACTATTTGTGTAGAAATAGGGGGAAGTGAAGACTATATTTACATAAATACACATTGCTTGTGTATGAGTAAAATTCATAAAGCCCTTAGAGAAGGCAACCAGGTCACTGGGAACAAGAGTAGAAGGGAGACTTTTTACTATGTACCATTTTGCAACTTAAAAATTTTTTTAACCGTGATTATATTACCTATTCAAAAAATTCAATTAAGTTTAAATGAAAAAAATACAGATTAAAAAAAGAAAAATATAATATCTGATACAAGGGATTCACTTTGAAAATCAGAATTAGTTGTAAGAGCCTTTTGGGGAACAGGCAAGATGAAGTGTGGAAGGGACTGTTATTAGATCACTTCAGAGCTTTTCTATCAGAGGCTTGCTACTCTTTTATACTCCTTTTTCTAATCAGAGTCATAATATAAAATTTGGGATTATCAGTTATTTTCAGCATATTTAACACATTTATCAGGATTAACAGCTTTCTAGTTTATAATAGGAAGCTAAGAAAAATCATTAATTTTGTTCATTCACATTTGTCTATGAATAGATCAGTTGAGGTAATAACTAAACTTATATGTTAGAAAAGGCATCTTAGATTAGGAAATTTTATCATAAACCTAATTTTTATTTTCATCATTTTCATAAGCTTTTATTGTGTAATCACATAACTTCTGAAAGTAGTTCAGTCATTTTGTGATAACTCCAGACACAGCTATTTTCCCATGCTGTTGGATATGCCTGTGAATGGAGATAGAGAATATATAGGGACATAGAGCTGAATAGGGGTGACTTCAGGAGTTTATCTGGAACTTGATTTTTTTGAAGTCTCTGATATCAGCTTGCTTTTGGGTCATTTGCTTATTATCATTTTCTATTTAAGCTACTTTACTCACACAAAATAGGCTGCTGCTTATTAGTTTGTAATCATTTTTCTATTTCTTTTGTACTGAGTTTGTTAAAGGAAATTGAAGGAGAAATTCCCCTTACCATTTCAAGAAATTTTTCCTCTGCTATTTCAGAGCATTTTATACAACATTTACAAATCCTTTATTGAACCTAATGGTGATGCTGTGGGTATGACACCAAGCCTCTTCTGTAAGCTATAGTGTATGTTTGACTTTTGGTAGCATCCCAAGTTTAGGCAACAATAAAACGTTTTATTTAGTTCCCATATGATGGGTCAGCATTATCTTAAAACATTTCACATTATGAATAATATTCTGGTCCAGGAGTAAGGCAGTAGCAGGCAGAGGATGATAACAATATTATTAGTTAAAAGTCTGCTTTTTTAGGGTAAGATTTTGATTTCTAGAAATATAAATAAAACTACTGTCCTTGGGTATAAAAAGGGATTAAACCAAAGGGTAACAGTGTTTTCTGTCCATCTAACCATTACCTTGTGCTCTGTAAACCACTGATAAATTTACAGCACCTATGAAAGCTCTAAGTTGATTATATTTTCTAATCATCAAAGGTGGGAGCAGTCAGCTTGTCTTCCGTTGTCTTACAGTCATCAAGATATGCTAGGGGTGAATTTGGCAAGCTTACTTTAAGAGAATAAACATCTTCATTTGCAAAAAATACCTTCATTTACATTTAAAACTCTACTTGGGATATAATAGCTTCAGAGATTAAATCTATGAAAAGCCATAAATCGAATACAGCTGTGTTTTTTGTATCAGTTACTTCTATCGTCTATATCTTGTTTCTCTTTGAAATAATGAGAGATTCCCATTGGAAAGTATAGCCCAGCCAATTTCATATGCTCATCAGAGATTTTTCTGTCCTACTTACATAAAATGTAGACACTATTGAATGTATAATACACTGTGTTGTAGATCAGTGTTTTACTATAGTGAATGTATTGCTGTTTCGTCATTGAACTGTACTTGTTAATATATCTTTAACCGTAATAGTACTACTGCCACACCCAGGCAATAGATTACCCTTTGCTGGTATCAATTTATGTTGGCCATATAATTGAGGACTTGTTGTACCACAGGTTTATTTTTTTTTCTGTAAATTAAACTGTTTTGAGGCCATACTAATGGAACATTTTCTGCATCTTGATTAAACAGATTTCAAACAACTGATCCAAAAGATAGACAGTTTAAGGTATTATATCTTGACTCAGTGTTTCAGTGTGTACCTTGGTAAATAGCTATTTTAGCATACCCTATCTATAGAGCTGTATGTTACAGTATAAATGTAGATGGCTAATTTTAAAGAAGATGTTATTAGTTTCCCATTATACATAATGTACACTCGTGAAAATTAATTATACTGTTTCATTTAAGAACCTCACTTTAAAAATGCCCTAAACCATATCTTTTTCATAAAACTTCAATTGCTTATAATCTATATGTTAAGAACTGCTAGTCATAGAATACAGATGTTTTTAAACATATATTTTAAAGGATGCACAAATACTTTCTTTGTACATTTGTATATAAAGAATATATTTTTAGGGCAAGAAAATGAAAGTTACTGATAGGAGAGACTTATTTTAAAATAATCAAAAAGATACATCGAATGCCTATTTAAATATAGCTTTTCATTAGGAAAATGTAGGAATAGGTTATTCTAATATTTGTTTTAAATAATTTGATGAATTTATGAAGGGTATGTTATTTTAAAAATTATGCTTATTTTTACAATAGCTGTATCACTGTACTTATTTTCAGTGAGATGGAATTGCCTAAGTCAACATGTTACCTCATTACATAAATTTCAGATCTGAAAGTACCATGCGAATATTCAAAAGGTACTGAATAAAGTAAAAGGGAATGTTTTTAATATGCAGAAAGTAAAAACCTGTACATTTAATTTTCTTGAAAGTCACTGAGAGAATGGGCATCTTTTTTTCTCACCTTTTTGAAACATAAGTGACATATAACATTGAGTATGCTTAAGGTATACAATGGTTGATTTGGTATACTTATATATTGCAAAATGATTATTACCATAGCATTAGCTAACACCTCCGTCATGTTACATAATTACCATCTTTTTTGTGATGAGAACATTTAAGATCAACTCTTTCAGTAACTTGAAGTATATATTTTAGTATTGTTAACTATGGTCCCAGTGCTGTACATTAGATTCCCCAGAACTTACTCATCTTGTACTGCAAGTTTGTACTCTATGGCCAACATCTCATTTCACCCATCCCGCAGCCCTTGGTAGCCACCATTCTGTTTCTGTGTCTGTGACTTCAGCTTCTTTAGATTCCGAATTAAGTGATATCCTATAATATTAGTCTTTTTCTGACTTATTTCACTTAACATAATGACCTTGAGGTCTATCCATGTTGTCGAAAATGGCAGTACTTTCTTCTTTTCTCATGGCTGAATAATATTCCAGAGAGAGAGAGAGAGAGAGAGAAAGTGTGTGTGTATACATACCACAGAACAGGCATCTTTAAAATATTTTGTCAGTCTGATACAAACGGTTTATCATTGCTTAAGACAGTCTCCTGAGAGTCTACCATCTATGTGGCTCTGTACTTTAGGCTGTGTGAAGTTAATGTAGGTACCTCGAATAGATTTTATTCTAGCATTCCAAACCATTATGTTTAGACATGACTAGGTCAACTAGGTCATTGTAGATAGTAAGAGAAGATAGGTGTTGTTTTTATTATATATTTTAATAAAACAGTTTCTAATTATGTTGCAGGCTTTACTCATCAGTCTTAAGTATGGTTGTTTTATGTGGCAATTGGGGGATGCTGATACATGTTTTCAGATCCATAGTATGGAAAATAAAATGAGCTTTATAGTACACACAAAACAGGTAAGTATTTACCATTTACTTTGGACTTCTAATGAACTACTGTATTAGTGATGCAATGAGCACTGGGTGTTATACGCAACTAATGAATCATTGAACATTACATCACAAATGATGTAGTTCATGTTGGTTAATTGAATTTAAAAAAAAAGGAAAAAAGTTTTTTAAAGTGACAGTCCATTTTGCTTCAAGGAAAACCTTTGCTATCGTATGAAATTAAGATATTTAAGACCAAGGGGAAAAAGGCAGGCCTTTCCTAAGCAAATAAGCCAGAAACTTATCTGAATAATTTATTTCGGTTTTGTAACAGTGAAACTCTTTTTTCTGCCATTTCCTTTAAGTCTGGTCAGTATTCCCTATCTCTTTTATCAAGGTATTAGGTAGTCCTTGCCTTTTCTTAACCAGTATTGTATCTGAGCCACTAGCTGCATCCACTAGGTTGCTTCTTAAATCCCTTCAAAGTCTAAGTATTCTCTTTATTCCTGACAAGCTGCTTCCTACTAAGAATGTTCCTTCCTTTTCAGATAGATAGGGAACTGCCCACTGTCATGTATGTCATTTACCCATTCTTATGTGTTTCATATTTACTGTCAACATATATTTTACTTTGTAGGCTGGCCTTGTGGTAAAACTATTAATGAAGCTAAATGGACAGTTAATGCCGACCGAAAGAAATTCATGAGAGGAAAGCAGCTGATACTTAACCCACCACATTTTGTAATGCAGATTTTTTTCCATGAAAGATTTCTTAAACTATTACTTTTAACAAGGCATTTAGTCTCTTGTAATATATATGTATACTATTACATTGTACAGAATCTGTACTTCTGTTTGGTGTGTAATATACCAGTTAGTTTTATATAATATCCTCATAAGCTATTCTAATTTTTGAGAGAAACACGCAAAAAAGTGTAGATTGATCACCTGTATATTAATGGACAAAACAGTAAGCTTTATAAAAAGTTATTTTTGGTAAATGGTAAAGAATTTGGAGTGGAATGTAATGAAATTAAAATATAGCTTTGGTATAACTTTGTGTGTCATTTCAAAATATACTGAAAGTCAACAAAGTTGAATAAGGAAAATATATTTCCTATTTAAACCACATAACATTGCTATTTCAAACATTTTTCTGTAATCCAAGAAAATTTCTCAACATGTTTTTAAAAGTCTTAGTTAAAATGTGTAACTGGTATAAATTAGTATTTCTGAGAGTATAGTTCTTGAAACCCCCTGCATCATAATTACCCTGGATCCCTCTTTAAACAAAGATTTCTGGGACTCAGTATATACAAGTGCATTCACTCTCTAAAAGTAGCCAGTCCTAGGAATCTTAAATTTGGCTTGTTTTCTATTGAAATAATTCCAGACCCAGTAATGAATTTGTATTAAAATAAATGACACAAAAGTGCCTGGCATACAAGCATACACATACATAGACACAGATTAAGTGACAATCTCTGGATATAAGTAGCTGCATTTATTACATATATGTTGTATTTTTATGATTTGGCTTAATGAATTATATTGCCTTTACATTGTATGAAGTAGATCACCAAGTATCTGTTTCATTTAGGGGAGTATTGATAACCATAGATGAGGAGCTAACTGACTCATAATCCAAGTCATCTGACTCATCTTGACTAATCTATTTAATAAGTTTAGAAACTAGTTTTTCCAAGCTAACAGATTGATGTATTCTAAGTAAGTACAGAGATACAGTAATCATATTTGAAGTTGTCCTAAAGATCGCAGATAATTTTTATACATCGTAATTTACACTTCACATTCATTTCTGCTTATTTCAAATGGTGCTCTTTCTGAGCCTTATTAAAATTATATGGTTAAGTAAATTGAATGAGAAAGCCTGCTTTATCTCTAATTCTGTGCTAAGCACTTTTGATTCTACATAGACAATGCCCTGTTCGATTTCATTCATTCCAATGGCCTCAACTGAAATACCCTGATGACGCCCAAACCTAAAATTTCAGCCTCGGATTCTTTTCTGAATTCTAGATCTTAATTTCCAGTTTCCGCTCTTCTAGCTCTACCTAAATGGCGTACAAAAGGAACTTCTATTTCATCATAGCTAGAAACAGAATCTGTTTCCTCCGCTTGCTCAGTTCTGTCCTTCCACTTGTATTCTCTGTTTGGTTAGTGGCATCATCAAATTGTATCCAGTTGCTTAGCCTGGAAATCCTGGAGTGCTTTTCAGCCTCTCTCTCCTTTCTTATCCTAGACGTTCCATTTACTGGGTCTTGTCAAATGTCTTGTGAGTGCTTTCCCATTCCTTTCCTCCCTGGTTGCACTGCATCTACCCTAGTTCAAGTCCTTACCACCTGTTCCTAAGTTTGTTTAACTTCCTCCCTGGCTTCCCCTGGCTGCGGCTCTACACCCTGCCTGTGTATCTGCCACACTGGTGCCAAGTTCACCTTTCTTACAGATCTGATTATTTCATTACCTTCTGAAAACCTTTCATGGTTCCTTACTATATGTAGAATTAAATTCCAGTTTCTTAGTATTCAATACAGGGCCCCTAATTACATGGTCTCTAACCTTCCTATCCAGATTAATGTGTCACCACCTTTCCCACACATCCTATGCTCCAACCCAGTGTTTCCTAACCCTGGCTCTGCAGTCATGGGGGGAGTTTCACTACATAATGACTCAATAAATGCAGGGTGGGGCTCAAGGATTTGTGTGGGTTTTTTTTTTTTTTTTTTTAAGATTTTATTTATTTAGGGCGCCTGGGTGGCTCAGTTGGTTAAGCGACTGCCTTCGGCTCAGGTCATGATCCTGGAGACCCAGGATCGAGTCCCGCATCGGGCTCCTTGCTCAGCAGGGAGTCTGCTTCTCCCTATGACCCTCTTCCCTCTCCTGCTTTCTCTCATTCTCTCTCTCTCTCTCTCAAATAAATAAATAAAATCTTTTAAAAAAAAGATTTTATTTATTTATTTATTTGAGAGATTAAAGCGAGAGAGCACAAGCAAGGGGAGCAGCAGAGGGAGGGGGAGAAGCGGGGCTGGATCCCAGGACTCTGGGATCATGACCTGAGCCGAAGGCAGACGCTTAACTGACTGAGCCACCTAGGTGCCCCAGGATTTCTGTTTTTAAAGTTTCCCATGTAATTTTGATGTACAGCTAGGGTTTAGAATTGCTCTTATAACCAACTTTAAGAATTAGCTAAATGCTTTCCCTTCCGCAGAGGGAGGTGAGGATGCAATGATACTACATCAAACAACTCCCTGCTCCATAGAATACAGTGTATCCTCCTGGAGTTACACAGTATGGCAACCCTGTAGAGAAGGGAAGATTATTAGAGTAGCTTTGTATTAAAGGCTTAAAAATATATAGCATTAGAAAGTCAATTTTCAAATATAGTATTAAGGAAAAAAAATGATCATTTTCTGTCAGAGCATAACCAGAAATAAACAATAAAGAAATACAAACAAACAGGTTTTAATGAATGCCTAGTATTGGTCAGACATTGTATGTCCATACCATTTTCCTTTTCATCATTCTTCAATAAATCTTGAGTGCCATTTATGTGCCAGGGATCCAGTGGTAAGAGAAACAAAGCTCCTGCCTTTAGGGAACAAAGTTTAATGAGGGATACAATAAATACTAACAGAAATACATATTTATAAAGTCCAGTAAGTGATGAAAGAAAAATAAGTGTATTATGTAAGCATAAAGTGGGAAACTTGATGTAGCCTTAGAGAGGCATCCCTGAGCAAGTGATGCTTGAGCTGGCATCTGAGGGGTGAGAAAGAAGGCTATAAAGACATTTAAGGGAAAAAGGAAATGGAGTGAGATGTTTTGAGCCCAAGAATGGTCCTGGAGAATTGATAAAATTTTCTCATTTTTAGCTAAAAAGTAAATTCAAATTGTTTATCCAAATCACAACAAATGAGTTTCCATTTTAGAAATAAAACCAGATCAGTGAGATCATATGATTGATACATGTCTTTCTCTGATCTCACTGATATGAGGAATTCTTAATCTCAGGAAACAAACTGAGGGTTGCTGGAGTGGTGGGGGTTGGGAGGGATGGGGTGGCTGGGTGGTGGACATTGGGGAGGGTGTGTGCTGTGGTGAGCGCTGTGAATTGTGTAGGACTGTTGAATCACAGACCTGTACCTCTGAAAGACTCTGGGATCATGACCTGAGCCGAAGGCAGACGCTTAACTGACTGAGCCACCCAGGTGCCCCAAAACTGGCCACAGTTCTTGACCAAATTTAACAGATGAACTGGATCAATAAAATTGAGAATTTAATTTGATCCTGAGGAACTCAATAGCAAAAACTAATTGGCAGTATTAAATATATGCAAAAAAACTGATGAATCAATTCCTTGCTTTATAATTTATACAGAAAAATACTCTCAATGAAAATAATTTCAGTAAAATGAAATGGAGAAAATATAAATTGTTTTTGCTGTGCTGTGTAGAAAACTGATGAATTAAGGTGGCTTGAGTTCATGCAAAAAATACTTTGTCAATAAAAATCCATCTGTGATGGTATGATTCTCATTTAAAGTTTGTATCCATAAGGTCAGAATGCCTCTAGAGTATTTGGAGAGGCAGAGGTAGGCTGACCGAGAAGGCCCTAAGGCAAAAGAATGGCAAGCCCTGGGAGTTCTTAGAGGCAAGAGTGCTTGTGGCAAAGGAAATACCTTTCAGACATCTTAAAGTGTAAGTGAGAAAGGTAATTTCAATACATTGTACTAATTTCTATGATAGAAGGAAGCACTGGGGGCGCCTTGGTGGCTCAGTTGGTTAAGATTCCAACTCCGGTTTTAGCTCAGGTCATGATCTCAGGATTGTGAGATCAAGCCCTTTGTTGGGCTCCATGCTCAGCAGGGAGTCTGCTTGAGATTCCTTTCCCTCTGTCCCCATCCAGCCCCACTCACTGTCTCTAAAATAAATAAATCTTTAAAAAAAAAAAAAAGAAGGAAGCACTGGTTGTTCGGGATTTATTGGAAGGACACCAACAATGGATGGGAAATTAGGGACTGACTTACCCATCAGTTAAATAATAACAATAGCTAATACTTAAAATGGTGCTTACTATGTTCCTTGGCATTGTTTTAGATATATTAATTCATTTAGCCCTTACAATAATCACGATGAAGCAGATACTATTATTCCCATTTTACAGACGAAGAAACAGAAAGTTAAGTAGCTTGCCAAAGAGAATATAACTTAAGTGGTGGAGCTGAGATTCATATCAAGGTAGTCTGGCTCCATAGTATTAATGAATCAGGAACATGATATGTGATTGTAATAAAAACATAACAAGATATTTGTTTTCTTCTAAACAGGTTAGAAGTCAAACTTCTCTAACACAGTGTTGTAAATATTTTCATTTTCATACACTATATAACTTTAAATACAATTGTATATGGAGAGGTTATATTACTTGTCTAAGGTAAAAAACCAATAAGTGGTAGAGTCATAGTTTAAAATCTGGCAGCCTGGCTTCTGTATTCAGACATTTGTTAGGTAAAGGAGAAGGAGCTGGGGAGGCTTAAAAAAAAAAAAAAAAAAAAGACCATATTTTGAAGGAAGTGTTTCCTGCTAATGAGGAGCCATTGGAGCCCTTGGGACTTGACTAGCTCAGATTTGTATGTTATCACCCTGGGCCAGTGTACAGAAGGGCTCCAAGGGATCTGAGCAAGAAAGTATAAGACAATGGGGAGAAGTGGATTAATGTTTTGACAAAACCCATATCCAAAAGTGACCTTTTGGATATGGGAACTAAGGAAGAGATAGGAATCATAAATCCCTTCTTTCCGTCCTGGGCAACTGGGAAAATGGTATCATAAACTGCCTAAGATAAGGAATGGAGGATCATTTGAAGAAATGTATTGAATTCCATTGAGAAATGGGCAAAGGTAGAGCAGCCCCAAAGCATCTCATTAGGCAAATGAATATCAGTATGCAAAAGAAATAGCTTGGTACCATCCTGCATACTGTATATTCAATAAATTTCATATGGCCAAAAATTAAATATTAAAAAAATC